GACTGTGTGGTGGGTTAGCGCCCCTAACCCATGCACTGTTCAAAAGTCAACTCTAATTTTCTTTTGCCCACTTTTGTCCCTCTCCAATGTATTCTCTACTCAACAGCTACAATAATCTCTTAGAAGTACAAATTTGATTATGTTTTTCTTAAAACTTTTCTTTAGGATTATCCTTTTTTTAAATTTTAATTTTTTATTGAAGTGTAGTTGATTTACCGTGTTAGTTTCAGGTGTACAGCAAAGTGATTCAGTTATATGTATACATACATATATATTTTTTATTTTCAGATTCTTTTCCATTATGCTATTACAAGAAATTGAATATACTTCTCCATGGGCTGTCTTCGTTTTTAGACTAAAAGCCAAAAATCTCTGTGGCTTCCTTGCTGTAAAAAGTCAAGGGTAGCTCCTCCATAATGGACTTGATGGTGGGTGCAATAGTCAGAGAAGGGGTTCACCTTCCAAAGCTGTACTTTCCTTGGCACACATTTGCCCGTTTTCCTTATCTGGCTAAGTCCTACTAGTTATTTAATAAAAACTTCCCCTGGCCTATCTACCCCCACCCCTTGAGCACACACCCCTGGTTTCTGCCTGGTATGAGAGGAAAGGCTACTATCTTTCCATGGTTAAGAGCCAGTTGGTCTGAATTGGAAGTGACTCTATTCTTTTTTTTTTTAATTTTAAAACTTTTTAATTGAAGTGTTGTCAATTTACAATGTTGTGTTAATTTCTGGTGTACAGCATAGTGATTCAGTTATACATATATATTCTTTTTCATTACAGGTTATCACACACTATTGAATATAGTTTCCTGTGCTATACAGTAAGAAGACCTTGATGTATATAGTAGTTTGTATCTGCTAATCCCAAACTCCCAATTTATACCTTCCCACCTTCCAAACCCTTTGGTAACCATAAGTTTGTTTTCTGTGTCTGTGAGTCTCTTCTGTAAATAAGTTCATTTGTGTCATTTTTTCAGGTTCCACATATAAGTGATATCATATGATATTTGTCATTCTTTGTCTTCTGTGAACATT